AAAGCCGGAAGTGGTGCTGTGGCTCAAGTGGTAGAGTGCTAGCCTTGAGCTGAAGAGCTGAGGGACAGCACCCAGGCCCAGAGTTCAGGCCCCACGACCGAACCCCCCCCCCAAAAAAAAGAAAGCCAGAGGTGGCTCTGCGGCTCAAGTGGTAGAGTGCTTGCCTTGAATCAAAGAACTCAGGAAAAACGGCCAGGACCAGAGTTCAAGCCCCACCACCGACAAAAAAAAGAAAAGGTATTTTATACCTCTGTAGTCCTTGATCACTTTTATTGTCATTTCCAAGCCATTCATTCATCCATCATCTCTTACTAGCCACCTTAGCAGTGGAGTTTTGTACTTAAATGGCTGAGATGAAGAAAAATGAGGTAGAATCAAGCACAAGCTTTTCCAGACATGAACCTAACAGAAAAAAAATAATAGCAAAAAGAATTGCTAAAAAATACTAACTTTTTTTCTTCTCTCTCTCTCTCTCTTTCTTTCTTTCAGTGATGGGGATGGAACCATGTGCTAAGTGCATGCTCTACTTGCTGAAGAAAAAGTTTTATGACTAAAATTGCAAAAAAAAAGCCAGATATCAGATTTATAGTACTGCATTTTAGCCACATTGCCACACAAAGTTGAATAGATTTTTAAAAAACCTTAGAGTAGGTCTTAGTGCTATTGAACTCTTCAAATATGTCTGTGTAGTCAAAACTGAGATTAGTTGGATGGATTTCTAAAACACTGTAAAAAAAGGAAAATTGAAGTAAGGAGACTGGCTCTGTTTCCCCTAGATAATTGGCCCTTGATTTCCCCTGATTGTTTCCCCAGATGGTTATTTAACACATTTAGGTTTAAGTGACCTCCTTTGGTTTTCTTTGCTTATGTATAGTACTTTTGTTAGGTTTAATTCCTCACACCTTATGTGGGTTTTGCCTATATAAGCTTTGTGCTAGCTGCTTTGGGGCTGCTGGTCTTTGAGACTCTCCAATAAAGACTCACAATTTGACCTCTTAAGTGGTGGCTTCTCTGTTTCTCACAACTGAGTTCCCTTCCAACAAAAATCTCATGTATCTTTATACACTGGACACAATTAAAATGAAAAAAATTGAGAGTATATTTGGTTAGATAAAGTGCGTAATTAAGATAATCTCATGTGTTTCTTTTGTTTCTTAAAGTAGACATAGTAGGGGCTGGGGATGTGGGTTAGTGGTAGAGTGCTTACCTAGCATGTGTGAGGTCCTGGGTTTGATTCCTTAGTACCACATACACAGAAAAAGCTGGAAATGGCACTGTGGCTTAAGTGGTAGAGTGCTAGCCTTGAGCAAAAGAAGTTCAGGGACAGTCCTCAAGCCTTGAGTTCAAGCCCGAGGACTGGCAAAAAAAAAATACACCTAGTAGAAAATTTAAAGTTAGTTCTGTGCCCATATTTCTTTGGGACATTGTGGGTATAGAATATTGAATTTTTAATAAACCAGTGAACTTCATGAGGATTGTCTCAAGGAATATCCCTGAAGATACTGTAACAGGTACTTAGAAGCTGCTTTTGCTGAAAAGTGTTGACTTTTTACTGGTGTTCATAGAATAACTTAAGAGCAGGAGAAAAGCTTAGCTTCCCTGTTTCCATTTTTTATCTGTCTTTGCTCTAAGCCATTCTCTCTGAAGTCACTTTGCAGTCACTTGGAATCCAGAAAGGACAGGACTGATGATACCCAGCATGTTTATAAGGAGAGATGGAGGAAACTATCCCACAGGTCGAGATCGAAGAGGTGTTTCTCCGGAGAGACCACCTGTCAAACACTTAAGGATTTGTTACCCTGACAAAAATTGCTTTCCTCATGTAATGACGCAGAAATGGCAGCTTCAATGGGAGAGGGGGGGAGCGGGGGGGGGCACCCTCTCTAATGAGGACTGGTGAAATGCACACTTCTCTCTTGTGCCTCTTGTTTTTTGTCTATTTAAATCTAAAGCTCCTGTCTGGACCCTGAAGATGAATTAAAGTGCCTTTTCCTGACTGTGCCATGCTAATAAAACTTTTTTTCTGCCCTTCACCATTACCCTCTCTTTATTTGTCTTCTAGGGATAGGTGGCTAGACCTGACATGTAGAAGGCAACACTAAGTCCTAAAGCTTGGGTTTCAATACCAATATCCATGAATGTTCAAACCTCATATATAAAATGACATAATATTTTCATGTAACTTACATAATCCTCTCAAAAACTTTAAATCATTCGCACAAGATTTATTTTACCTAGGATGCATAAGTGCTATGTAAGTGTTTATATTCTAATGTTTGGAGGTTAATGGCAAGAAAAGAAAAGGTTTGAACATATTCAATACAGGTATAATTTTCTTTCCCCAAAGTATTTTCCATATGAGGTTGGTTGAATCTTAAGCATGGAATCCTAGGCGACAGAGGCTGACTGTATTTGGGGAAAATACAGAACTAATCTACAAAGCATGTGGGTTAACTGCTGGAAATTGTCATCTCCTCCCTCTGGGATCTCTACTCATTTTGCTGTTACTTCTTGAGTATATGAAAGCTTAAATAAAAGATTATTACACTTTGCCAGAGAACCACGCAGACATCCAGGTACAGAGAACAAAGAAAGGTTTATTGCTGGGAAAGGGGTCCGGCAAGACCCCTTCTCATAGGGGAGAAGTGAGAAGAAGCACCGGCTACTGTCTGAGGTGACCTATATAACCTAGGAGGTTTAGGAGGAGCTAGAAGAGGCTAGGAGGCCGAGACCCCGGTATGGACACGTGGGTCAGTGGCTTCATCATGGTGGACTAGGATTTATGGCTGCTGTCCAAATAGTAGATAAGGGGTCCTGCAACTGCCCAGACCTGATGGTCACTCCAAGGGGCTCTTATTGCCTTATATGGTGGTAGCTGCCCAAGGTAAGGGGGCTGGAGGCTGATTATTTACTGCCTTTACTACGTTGGCCTAGTATTGCCTAGGAAGGGAGCTGTGGAGAGGGAGCTAAGCTGTGGACAAGGGAAGGAAAGGATTAAGCTATAGGAAGGGAGGTCATTTTGCTAACAGTATGGACTTATGGAAAACACTTATCCTTTTTATTCTTTATCCAAAAATGTGCAAGCACAAGGCTATTTTGATTAACAGAAGTTTTTGAAGTTTTAGAGGATCCAGACTAAGCAAAGGAATTCAGATGATCACTCCTGGTTCTCCCTGCAATCCAAACTTTCTCCAGTAGAGGGAGTGCCTCACTTTTATGAGGCTCTCCTGTGGTTTCTGTGAGTTTCCCAGCTCTCCCTTCTCATTCCCTGTGTCCACCGCTGACAGTGCCAGAATTTCTTGAGATTTCATTTTGCTTAAATATTTCCCTATTGCCCTTGCTTTGCTTTTCAAGGGCAAATAAGGTCATTTTGGTGACTTCCAGAAGGTAGATCTGCTCAAGTTTCTGGGAACATCTTTACATTTGCCTTTTGTTAATGTTGTTTGTGGACCGGGGGAATAAATCTTGTTATTAGCCAAGCTAACAGAGGGCTTTAGGTGTGAAATATCTGCCTGTCAAAAATGAAGATCATCCTTGTTTTCACTGTATTTGATGTTGGTATAATTTGTGGAGGGGAAGGGAAAAAACAAATTGTTTAAATAAGGATACAGGTGGACCCATTGCAACAATGGGATGTACAAGACCTTATGTCCAAAGACGAACTTTACAACTTTGGTGCAGAGGTGGGAAGGTGGCGGGGGAACAAGGGGGGAATGGGGGAATGGGAAGGGATGGTAAGGGGAAACAAAGGAGGAGGTAACAATGCTTATAAGAAATGTACTCATTACCTTGCTCATGTAATTGTAACCCCTCTGTATGGTATTTTCACACACAATTTTTTTTTAAAAAAAATGAAGATGATGTGGCTGGCTTCATCTGTGGAACAATAGTGGTTAAGCCTGGAAGTGGGCACCTGCTTGGAGAGCATGGCATACCACCTTGTGTTCTCCATCTCCCCCACACTGAATTGTTCCATTCCCAAGGAGAATTCTGTCAGAATAATACCATGTGCCTCCTAGATGGGACTTCATATGAGCTCATGAAATTGTGAAATGGTGCTCCTGTGCTTGGCCTCTAGGCTGTGTTCAATAAGTAGCACCGACTTTGCTTATTAATATTATAATCAATGTCAAATTCAAGGAGTCTTAGGTAATAAGAGATGTGTACCTTCATTAAGGTAATGTGTTTCTTTTTTTTTTGGGTCCAGTCGTGGGGCCTGAACTCTGGGCCTGGACGCTGTCCCTCAGCTCTTCAGCTCAAGGCGAGCACTCTACCACTTGAGCCACAGTGCCACTTCCGGCTTTTTTCTTTTTG